GTTCGGTTTGAACCCAGATTTACCTCATTGTCATGTGTGCTTTGGAAGTTCATCCTCAGATTGCTTTCTCTTCCTTCATGTGATCTGCTGCTGCGCTCACGTGCTGAGCAGCTGGCCCTTAAACTGGATTCCCCAGCTGAAAGCAACTGGTATCTATTTCTTCTCCATTTGGCTGCAGAGATGTGTTTTGGGAACTTGTTCTTCATTCTAGCCTGAAGATGTGCTAGACTGCTCTGTGCTTGCTGAGCGTTTGTTAATATTCTCTGGGCTTCAGTCTCAAGCCTTAAGAATTTGGCTGCTTTCACACTTCTCAATGTAGATGAAAACTTCTTTTGGTGTGAAATTCTTTCTGCTGTTTCTGAACAGCAGGCCAAGACCTTCACCCAATCCATGGAAATGCTGATCTTCCCTGCCTCGTTATGTGGGCTCTTCTCCCCCATTTGCCATACCCTCGGGCATTCTTTGCCATACCACCATTTGGCATTCTTTAATGTGACCCTCTAGTATATTTTGTAGCAGTTGGAGCCGTAGTCACTTGGTAAGGCTTTATGATTCTGGCAGTGTTTGGATATTGTGAATATCTAGGTGGAAGGTGCCATCTATTAAAATACTTCTACTTTGAGCTCCTTACCTTCTTTTCCTGAGGGGCTAAATCCACTTTGGAATTCAACAGGCAACTAAAATCTACTATGCTTATACACTGCCCAGCTGTGTCATAAGCTTGGCAGGAACCTGAGATTACATTAGAGAGGATTTTTTACTGACAGTGGCTCTGATAAACATCCTAAGCTTTGTGAAACTTGCATAGCAATGTTCCACAATTATGTAGCGGTGTCCTCTCCTTGACCCTGAACTCTGTTTACTTTGCTGTTCTACCAATAACTTACTCTTGGTGGCAAGTTTTATTTGTCTGCGTTCCCTCAGTATCAAAGTACCAGGATATTCCCATTTGAATCTTTAGGCGAGATGGGCCCTCAGCCGAGGGTACCTGATGAAGGTAGGAATGAGCAGGATCTCTGGACTGCCGTTACGCTGCCGGCGAGTAGTACGACAGCCTCCAGTCATGGTATAAAGGCTAACGGATATATTTCAGGAGAAATACCTGGAAATACGTAGCAGGATTTGCAGTCAAGCATCTGTTTTCCGTGTTGGCTGTACAGAGTCCTTTAATAGAGAGTCCCATCTCAGGAGAGTACTGTCCTACCTTGATACGAATTTTTGCTCTGATACGTTTGTACTGCTGCGGGTTTCAATCTGAAACGTTAGCCTCAGTATTTAAACTCAGCCCTTTTAGAAGCGTGGTCCTGCACTGGTGGCTTGCAACCACAGCGATGATGTTCCTTGCCGCTTGTCTCAGAAGTTGCACTGGAAACGCTGCTCTTCGGGTGAGAGGAAGAACTAAGTTTGCACCTTAAAAGCACCATAACAATGTCCAGGAGAATTAGTATGTCCATCAGTGCTACAAGTTAATCTCTCTTTAGATGAGCAGCTGTCTAGGCTTTGCATATTGGCTACTGTCTTGCTCTTTGCTGTTGAAAAAGATAAACTATGAATTACATCCTATAGGAAGGTAGTTTAATTCCAGTGTAGACTGAAAATATTTTTATGTATGAACTTACTCGCAAAAGTATGCACATTGCTGGGGTGCTCTGTGAGTACTGATGGTATATAATTGCTTCTTTGTTGGTTTGCTGTTAACTATTGAGCATTCCTCATCTGGGAGAGGTAGGAAACAGCCCGAGAAGTTGAGTGATTGCTTCATGGTCTGTAGTTGTGTTCAATGGAGACTTGAGCTACTTGCAATTGCAAACGAGGGATGAAAACCTAGATACCTAAGTTTAATATTGCAAACAGTACAAGGGATGGAGCATCTGGGAGCGATCAAAGGCGATAGGAATCTCTTCGGTTGGAGGCAGAGAGACCACCTGCAGGCAGTTTCCTCCAACACCAAGAGTGCATGGAATGGGCTTTAGGTTCTTGTTTATGAATTGGAACAACTGATGGTTCAGCTCTGATGCTGAATTTTGAATTCTGTCATGTCTGGAGGAACCAGACAGATCTGATATGTGTCAGGTGGAAACAAGATTGGCAGTTGGTTGTTTTGAAAGTGTCTGTGTTGACAGGCTGAGCTCAGAGTGATGAAACCGGAGTGAAACCCAGAACTCAGTAATGGGCGTGCTGGTTCCTGTGTAGGTCTCATGCATAAATTTATTCTGATTTGGAAGGCAAAATGGGCTGTTTTTTTTTTTTTTTTTTTTTTCAGTCATCCAGGGGACTATAGGTTATCTTTTGGTGTACTTCGCCCTGGAAATTATCCAGGGGAAACACGCCATCTCCCCTTCAGCAGAATCATGGATTGTCCATTATTTCTTTACCACCGATCCCAGATGTTTTCATCAAAGCTATATAATGAATGAGATGCTAGAGTCTGCATAGGCTCTGCCGTAGGCTTTCATGTCATTCCAGAGGAAGGTGTTGAAGGCACCTCGTTCCTGACTTGTGAGGTCTGGAAATCAGTGGCCAGGAGCCTGAGCTGAGTGTGCGGCCATCCACAACATCGCATGAACATGGTGCTAAAGTGCAGTTCTTCGTAACCAAGCCCTGATTTGATCAAGCTTGCAATCTGCTTCTGGCCCTCAGATCATCCACTCTGGTGTGAAATGCAGCCTCTCGATTAACTGAAGATAGCACCTCTTCTGACTTTAGCACAGAGCCGTGATCTGCAAAGATCTGTAGCCTTTTTGACCATTCTCTTTCATCACCTCAAAACGCAATGGATTCTCAGATGCTACCATCTTCTTGCTGCTCTATGCTCTTTGTCTTCGAGATGGAGACGTACAAGTGCCTCGAGACCACTGGGAAGAGTCACAATATGCCATATTCCCTGCCTGGGACTTTGTAGCCTGCACCTTTGTTTTACATACACCTTATGTGCGTTAGACCCAGCCCTAAAACTTACAGCAAGCTACCAAGAAACTCTCGGCTAGGCAGAGAGTGGGCTACCGTGGGATATGCAATGTGATGTTGGTCTTGTGGCCTGGCTGTGACTGTATCTGGTTGTTCCAGATGAGCCTTGCATCACTCTCTCCTAGTCCTGCATTCTGGGTCATGCGTCCTCCCTCATTGCCCCTTACCTCCGCATGTGTATGTCGATGTGATGGCCTATGCCGCCCTTTCGTGGTCTGTACCTAGTGCTGCCTCAGTGTCCCGAGCTTTTGTAGAGGTTCTGGCTTGTGTGCATCAGTAAATTCTGTCTCTTGTCTTGTCTGGTGAGCGACTTGAAAATGGGACTTGCGAGGGGAAAAATAGAAGTGAACAATTAGCCGGAGAATCTGTTCTTCTGGCCAGGATGGGGGTAGAAGACGGTTAGTGGCATCTTAATGTCGTGGCTGGTGTGTGGGAGTTCTCTGGCTGCCATTTGCAGCAGCAAGTGATCATCTGTTACTCACGGGCAGTGTCCCCAGAAACCTCAGGTTTGCCGTTTGGGGATTCAGTTTGAGATCTCGGTTGCGGCACGGCAAGTGTAACCAACTGGTAGTTGAGGGCCGGAGCCCATGCAAAGGTGAGAAGATGGCTGCATGCTCTGAATATTGTAAATCAGTGTGGGGAAAAGGATATATTTCAAGAGGAATGATATATTGCAGGGGTATCCTGCGTAAGTAGTGATCCTTGCTGCTTTTCTATGCTGTGGTTTGTATGAGATGGTTGTGCCGTAGGGGAGGAAGGAAGGTGTTGTTGAGTATAACCTCAGTAGCCCCTTCCACAGCTCCATGCTGCTTCTGCTTGACAAGAAAACGTAGCTCTCGGAGCAGGTGAGTAGCGAGAAAGATGGGAAGACTTTAACCCTTCACACTAAAGGAACTATTTCATCTCCCCTGGTGCTAAAAAGCAAGTCATTCTTATGGCAATGGATTGGGTGTTGTGTTTGGGAGAGAACCAGACTTTCCTTCAAACTCCATATGTCCAAAAGATTTGTGACCTGGTTCTTACTTATCTAAATCTCTCGATTCCCCTAGCATGTCTCCTAAGCTTGTCCATGCCCATCTGCTCGGGTTTTGTTCATGGGGCTGAGATCTCTGCTGGCAGAAGTCCACTGACGTATGAAGAATTGCTTTGGGGAAAACCTGGCTTGTTATCTCTGAAGCCTCAAGTGGTGGCTGGGAGCATCCTCCTTGAGATGAGGGTGCTTTGTGGGTTGTTTGGCTCCAGCACAATGGGGACTGTTTTCTGCCGGGTTTTTACATAGAATGCTTTGTCGTGCCGCACTTCGCAGCTCCTTCCAGCTCAGGCTGGGAAAATATCTCTGTGGATGGAAAATCTAGGAAGCAGTGAATGGCTTGTTCTGCAACCCCCTGGAGAATCCAGCAGCCCTACTTGGTCCATCTGTAGAAGAAGGTTATGACGATGCTTGCTTCTCCTCTCTGGGATGTGGCTGGGACTGCCCTGTTTCTAGGAATTTCTTGGTTTCCAGGGTATGAAATGGCTTTGTTCTGTGTACAGGACTAAGCTTCAGGTGAAGCAAGAAACAAATGCACCAGACCGCAAGCCGTTAGCCTGGGACTGGGTGCAAGGAGGGGTTATTGTGCCTGTGAAGGGGCACTTCTCCCTGTGCCTCCTTGGGCACACGTGCGTCAGGAGCAGTGCCCAGGGGCAGTGTTGCAGGATTAATACTCTGAGCCCTCTGCTCTGGACTTCAGGCCTCCATCCCTATGTGTCCTGAGGCATCCTGGCTTCCAATCCTTCCTCTTCTTTCAGGACTGGGGCATGGGCTGTGTTCTCCATGGACATTGTTGACTTGCCAGGCCCTTGGTGTTCAGGTTTCTGCTTCCATGCTAGGCCTGTGGTAACTCTGCTGAAAATCAGGTTTAGCTTTGCTGGCAGGTGTGGCAATCCAGACTTTGGCCTTGTTAGGGCCGTTTCCCATTCTCTGTTTACCCCTTGCTGCCAAGACCACACGTTAGTCCTTAAACTCCCTGTAATCTCTGGCATTTCATCTGCAGGTGATGACAAATATGGAAGGAAAGTCATTTTGTTCAGTGCCTGCCGGATGCCTCCAAGTCATCAACTTGATCACGTGAAACTGCTGGGGTGAGTAGTGTCTTAGGAGGCTGCTGTTACCTTCTCAAGCCAGACATAATTCCCAAGTGCTGGATTCCTGGGGCCAGATCTATCTGCAGTAGCTTCTTTAGCTGGACGTGCCCTCCCAAAGTGCTTACCTCCATTGCTGGGGATGCAAATCCTCTATTATGGCACAGAAAAATGAGTCTCAAAGGGAGAAAGAGCCTTTCTGTGGCAGAGCATGAAGTGAGTTCAGCAGTTGTCTCTTCACAGGTACCTGAAATTCACACTGGACCAGTATGTGGAGAGTGATTACACACTAGTGTACCTGCACCATGGCCTGACCAGTGAGAACAAGCCATCTCTGAGCTGGCTGCGGGATGCCTACAGGGAATTTGATCGCAAGTGAGTAAGGCTGCAGCAAGCAAAGATGTAACATGCTGCTCTGTAGCCTAACATAGATCTTCCCTGGGCCTCCCATGTAGCTTGGTGATCATAATTTACTATTACTTATTTCTGCTGCTTATGGAGGTGGGTTGTTGTTTAACGCAGGCTGAATCATGAGATAAACAGCTCCTTCTCTAGTTACATCCCTTAGGCCAACAGGCAAGCAGCAAAACCAGGACCCAGTACAAGTGTCTCAGCCCCATGGTATAATTTTTGCTTCCTGGTGAGGCTGCTCACTGCTTCTTGGTAAATCTTGGAATACAGCAGAGCGTGCCCTTAGGCTGCTGAGGGCCTGACGCAGCTACGAGGCGTGGGAGAGCAGAGGCCGTGGGCACTGGGGAGCGGTGAGGCTCAGTGCAAAAGGAATGGAGCACCCAGGTTGCCTTAATCTTGTGGAAAGGTTGGTTCCTCGGCTTAAAGTGCAGCTCATCCTTAATTAGCTTCTCTTGGCAGATACAAGAAGAACATCAAAGCCTTGTATATTGTGCACCCAACCATGTTCATCAAGACCCTGCTGATTCTCTTCAAGCCTCTGATCAGGTAGGAAGCACTATAGGAGGCTCACCCCCGTCCTCACGCTGCAGAGGAATAATGGGGCATTCTCAGTGGGGCACAAGGTGAGGCCAGGCTGCCAAGCCTACCCTGGAGTCTCTCACCCCGTGCTATCTCCTCCTGTTTCTGAGCTCAGAAATACGCAGACGCAGCAAGTACTGCTTTGGGAACCTACCGAGTTTGCAGCTCCGCGTTGCTGGCTTTCTATCCAGCCAAGTAGAAGTAAAATGTTGCAGGCTCTGCTCATAACAAAAAAGGAAGTGAGAGCATCAGTCCAAATTATAATTAATTTATTCTGTTGACGCTGAAATCCTAACTCTGTGAAATAATTGAAAGCAAAAGTTTCTGCAGCCTACTGCTGAGCTTAGGAAGGAGAAATCCAGCATTTTAGGGAGCCTGCTGCTGCTAGGGCTTCGAATGTGACTTGGAAAGTCTTGGCATCTCCTGGTAAAATACGTGGAGTTGGAGAGCTATGTGGGTGACATCTCTGCTGCTCAGCCGTACCTGCCCCTTTGCTTCGTTGATGTCTCTTGCAGGCCCCTGCTCTCCTTGCCTCTAAGAAGTCCGTTCTGATACCGGATTTCCTAATTCCTCACGTACCTCCTTTTCTCTTGTTTTTCAGCTTTAAGTTTGGACGAAAGATTTTTTATGTGAACTTCCTTAGTGAGCTGGAGGAGTATGTGAAGCTGGAACAGCTGGGGATCCCAAGCCAAGTGCTGAAGTGAGAATGCTGCCTGTCTCCCATTTGCTTAGGGCTCTGTGAGAGGGGACTTTTCTGGAGGAATGGGAAGGGGAGGAGAGATTGTTCCACTCGGGCAGAGGTTTTGGAGGGAGTGGTGACAAATTGCCTTAAAGACTATTGTTTCTCTCCATGCTCCTTCCTGTGTGTCCTTGGCTCCAGTGCTCGGTTCTGTCTTTGAGTTAAAAATCCTCCTCCAGTGGAGCACCCATCCTGCCTCTCCCGCTCACCCCTCGGGGGCTTTCTGCAAGCTGCTGACCTTAACACTGACCCGGAGCTCATGGTGGGCATCTACTGTGTCTGGGCACCTGCTTTGCTCACTCTGCACAGTTCAGTTTGTCTTTGGGGCTTCCCAAAGTTGTCACAATCTCAGCCCTACCAGATTGATTCCCTGTCCCTCACACACACGTGCCACTGTCTCATCACAAGCCATGCTGTCCTGGCCTCCTGCCCATGCTGTCTGTCATGCTCAGCTACTCCAGCTCCTGATTCCAGAGAGATATTCCTTTCTCCCTGCTTTTTTTTTTCTGACAACCAGATGTTTGTTCTTGTTGCCCCAGTGCTCCAGAGCTGCTTTTCCTGTTTTTGCATAGGTGGAGTCAGCCATGCTAGGCTGGAGCTGTTACCAGTGGGTGTGCAGTGGGTCATGTGCAGTGCTGGGCTCATGCTTTTTCTGAGAGGTGGAGTGGCTTTTTACTAATCTGTGTTTTGCCACAGGTATGATGAATATCTGAGATCCCTGCAGAAACCTTTGCAAGTGCCCCAGAAGCCAACACCCCCACGCCCGCCGCTGCCAAACCAGCAGTTTGGAGTCTCGCTCCAGCAGTGAGTATCTCTAGATTGTGTTGCTTTTACCCCAACTTGCTTGGGATCAGATCACTGTATTTATAACTGAGCAGCAGCAAAAGTGGCTGTAAAATTTCTTGCAGTTCAGACTTCCGACAAAACTTTAGTCTTTCTTCTGAGGAAATCTGCGCTTGTGTCCAGATCCTGACTAAGTTCAGTTCCACCCTCTTGATTCCCTGGCTGGATTGTATCTAAATTAGGATGAGACTGTTTCTGCAGCCAAGGGTCACTAAGGGAGGAGCAAAATAAGGGCCATGGGGATGGCTTTATGCCACTAGAAACTTCCTTTAAACAAAGGAAGTCTGTAGGAGGCTGACGGAGGTGTCTTTAGGGCTCTGCTATTTTGATTGAGCAGTGCTGCAGGTCTGTTTCTTAGTTTTTTCCATATCATAAATTCTATTTTAAAAGCAATTCTATTCAGCCTTGTACTGATTCCCACCCCCCATTCCTGGATGCTGACACAGGCACACACAGACACTGGCAAGGACTAGTGATACTGGCTAAGTGTTGAAGGTATTTTTAACTTCGAGTGTGATTTTTCCTCCCTGGAGAATGAGGAGGAGCCAGTACTGTGTGGCCGGACAGATTCTCTGAAGCAATCTGGGAACACATTCCCTAGCTTCAACACAACATTTCCAAATGTCACCCCCGATGGTGCTGTGTGCCTGAGCTTGTTAGTAGCCTGAGAGGGCTGAACAGCTCCGTGCTGTCAAGACTATTGAATGTGAGGGTGGCAGCGAACACCTTGGCATCACTAGGTCTTCCCTGACAGCCATTGGGTTGATATATCTTCTGTTACAGGAATGGGGTGGGTAAACTTATCCCTTATATATTTCTCTCGTGTGTCAGCTTCTTTCTGCCCTTGCTCCTGTGGGAAAGGAAAAAGGAAGCTTAACCCTTTTCACCTGATTCATAACTTAGCAGCTTTGACCCCCTTTGCCCTGGCATCTACAGGCTATGATTTTTAAAGAAGACAGAGAAATATTCCTGTGGTATAGTAATGAGCTCAAGCCTGCTCCAGTGAATGGTGTAGCATGATGGGTGAAGAGGGGAGAAGGCTGGAATAATGGCTGAACTGGGGACTGGGATAGCAAGATCCTACGTGGTCGAGCTTGTGTGGGCAACTTCAAGACTCAGGGGCTGCAGGCAGGGCAGGGAGGACCAGTCATTGGTAACCTTTTGTCTCTTCCCGCAGTCTCAGGGAGAAGAGCCCTGGTCAGTCTCCTGTTCCTCTGGTGGTCAGAGACACCATTGCTCATTTGCAGGAGCATGGTAAGTGCTCAGGGGAAGCTGCAGCCCCATTTAATTCCATGTCAGTGGCCTCTCCTCCACTCAAGTTCCCAGCCAGAGCATGGTAAGATAAAGAACAACAGCAGTCTAGAATAAGGTGTAAAGGCCTGAATGAGGTGAGTTAGCCTTCAAGAGAGATTGTGCAGGGCTTAGGAGACCTTTTTCTTCCGGTCGTCCGTACTCCCCCTTGTATGAGAGTGGCAAAATGCTCCTTGTATCCTTTGCCTGGTAGTGAAGCAGAAAGAATTGCCATACTCTGAAAAAGGGACTCGTTGACATCTGTCTGAACGCCTCGCAGCATGGATTTATGATTGTTAAGACCAATATTTTTAAAGACTCTCACATGACTGATCTTTCTTCTCCATCTGCTGTCACTTCACAGCTCTTGCTACGGAGGGGATTTTCCGGAGGTCAGCAAATACACAGGTTGTCAGGGAGGTCCAGCAAAAATACAACATGGGTAAGTGCCCAAACTCAGCAGAGCCCCTCTCGTTCCCTAACTAGTACTGTCCAACTGGAACTGTGTTGGAACTAATCCCTCATGGCTCCTCTCCTTCTCTGGTAGGCCTCTAGGTGAGACTCCATCAGGGTATGGCCTGAGGTGCAAGGGAAAAGCATCTGATAATTCTGCTGTTTGGAAAGCTTATTCCTTCCCACTCACGTTCCCCTTGCTACCCTTTTCCTACCTGAAAAATCTCCCTGTTTCTCAGGGTGGGATGTACTATCTTGGTCTGATTATACCAGAGGGACTCAAGAAGACCAGGAAGAAACTTGGTCATCTGTTTCATTTAATGACTTCTAAAGATGTAGTGCTGGATTCAGCAGTGCTTTGCATTTGCTTTTGGGACACATTTTTCCACCCTACTAGAAGACGGGATGCTTCAGTACCCTCTCTGTGTTCTTCTCTAAAATACTGCTTCCTTAGTTCTGGGCTCTGACCACCGTGTCCCATTCTTTATCTGGAGGAGGTCCTGCTTTGGCCAGTGAGCACTGAGTCTCTGCTCTACTTTCTCAGGTGTGCCTGTAGATTTCCAGCAGTATGAAGATGTCCACCTCCCTGCTGTGATTCTCAAGACCTTCTTGAGGGAGCTGCCTGAGCCCCTCCTCACTTTTGGCCTCTACAGCCATGTTGTCAGCTTCCAGAGTGAGTTGTAACAAGAGTGTGCTGCTCCCCGAATGTTGAACTGGCCAAGGGCAAAGATATCTTTCGGGGGGAGCAGTCTTGCATGAGATATCCTGTGACTGCAAACAGGGCTTTCATCGGGGTGGATGCTGAGGATTCCTCATGGACCTGCTGGTCCTGTCTCTCTTGATTTTTAGGTGTGGAAGAGGTGAATCGAGTGGATGTTGTTCGCAAAACGCTCCAGACTCTGCCAGAAGAAAACTACCAAGTGCTCCGTTTACTGACAGCCTTTCTGGTGCAGGTGAGCTGCTCCAAAGGTGGGCAGTCGTATTCTCGTTCAGTTGCCAGTGCCTTGTATCAGCTTTTTTACTGCCTGCACCCTCTTTTCCTTTGAGAGGAAACGAGTCTTAAGCTAGGACATTGCCTTTCTTTACCTTATGTTCTTGTTATACAGAGATCAAGAATGATCATGATGAACTAGCTGAAGCAGTTGCTTCTCATAATGCTGAGAGGTGCAGGTGGGCATTAAGCCCATGTGGTCGGTACCAGGGAGGCTGAAAGCTCCCCAGGGTGGAGGTACAACTGAAAAATATCTGAGTAGAAGATTAGACTAGAAAAGGGGCCTTGGATCTGCCCTACAGAACTTTCTGCTGCCAGGAAAGCCACTGCAAGGCTCCTCTAGCAAGAGGGAAGATCGTTTTGTTTTGAGCGGTGATGTGGACTGTAGAGATACTGGCGGACCGTGCTCTTGGTCCCATTGTTATGATGCGGCCTGGTGGTTAAGCCATAGTGGCAAACGGCAAGATATTGCTCCTCACCTCCTGAATGCTGGATGTCACGTGTGTTTCCCCCAGCCGTCTTCTGGCATTGGCCCTTCAGCTTCTCTCCTCCCATTTGCCCTTGGGAGTCGGTCAGCTCTGGCTTTGGGGAGGGTAGAGGGCAGCTGCTGTCTCGTGCTGGAGGATTGACAATGGTCTCTTTCCTTCCCACATAGGTCTCTGCTCACAGTGACAGAAACAAGATGACAAACACCAACCTGGCAGTTGTGTTTGGCCCAAATCTCCTGTGGGCCAAAGATGTCGCCATCACTCTAAAAGCCATCAACCCCATCAACACTTTTACCAAGTTCCTGCTGGACCACCAGAAGGAGCTCTTTGAGGACGTGGAGGCCTGAATCGAGGCCAGCCCACACCAGCACACTGTGCCCACCTTCCTACCTTCTTTCCCATCTTGACTTGGAGCTGTGACCAAGCTGTCTCCAGTGCAAAGGGACCGTTGATCCTCTGGGTGATGAGCAAAACGAGGGCTGTAGAGATGGTGGAGAAAGTGTGTAAGTAAGCGAGCAGGAGACCTGCTGCTCTGGATGGGGAGGGGAGCTGGTCTCCCGGCTGGTGGGAGTGGAGTCCTAACCCACCTGCCAGTCTGTGCAGCTCCTCCAGGGCTCATCACCAGTCTGCTGCCCTATCAGATGACCTGCCTTCCTTTCCTCCTGCCCTCATGTGCAGTTTTTCTGCCTTCCCGGTCCTTTCCTCAGCAAAGATCTGGTTTGTTTAAGCTCCCAGTAGCCCCAGCTCACCCCCCTTGCCTCAGCTGGGCTGTCTGGGCTAGGGCAGGCTTGTTGGGCTTTGTGGCAGAGATGTTCTTGCTGCGAGTGCCGTCTCTCAGCACTGAACGTGCATCTTGCCTTTCCCCAGGGGCACCTAAAGCAGGGAGGGGAGCCAGGCAGCCCTTGTCCTTCAGGTAGCAGCATGTCCTGCACTTGCAGACACCGCTCTAGACCCCATGCTTTTGGCAGGCAAGTGAAGGTCAGGCTGACGGCACGTGGGCTGTGTTACCTGTCAGACTCCAACACGAGGAAGCTGAATTTAGCCCGAACCCCTCTCTGGGGTCACCTGCTCCAGGTACTATTTGGTGTTTGCTGGGGTGTAGGGGGTGAGGTGCCTCCCGTGGTTACCCACCTCGGCCACGTTTGTCCCTCCAGCAGCATTTCCAGCCCGGCTGGGAAGGTTCGTGCCAGGCCTGGCTGTGCTGGGGGTCTGGCTGGGGCCCTTTGACAGCTGGTGGGTCTGAATGGCGGGGAGCAAGTGCCCCGGTGGTACTGAGCTGCTGAACGCTCTGAGGATCGTTGCCTTTCCCCCTGGTAGCAGCACAAGGCCCCTTCTCCTCTGTCGGGCGCCTGTGTCTCTGCTGACTGGCACAAACCGCCTTGGCTAGTCGTCTTTTTGAGCAGAACTTTCCACAGCACAGCGTTAACAGAGAGCATGGCCTTGAGGGAAGGTCTAGGGACCGGGGCTAACCCTCACCCTGGAGTGCCCTAGCCCTGGATTACAAATTTCTGCCCAGGTGCTGAGCACTCGTGTGCCAAAGCTGTGAGGGAACAGCTATTCCATGCCAAGGGCCTTTGCCCCATCTCCTTCTCCTTCCTTCCATCCTACCACAGAAGCCTGGTCAGATGCATCCTGTATGCCCTGGGCACGGCTGGAGAGATGGGGTTGTCTGCAAGGCCGGCTCAGAGCGGGCTGGGCCTGGCGCCTTCCCAAAGCAGCTGCCATACCGTTGGGGCATCCCTGTTGGGTTGGGGTTGCAGCGTTCCCGTTACCTGAGCTAAAACAGATCCCTCTCCTTAGCCTGGGTGCAGCAGGGCGTTTGCAGGGATCTTCTAGCCTTACTTCACCGGTGTGTTATATCTCTGTATCTTGGGCCCTGCGTGCCTGGGCCAGTCCTCTCTGCTCCATCTGGCCACAGGGACAAATCTTCTGGACCAAGCAGAGCTAATTTTTAAAAAGCTATTGGATGTTAAATGGAATTTGCTTTTTCATAATATTTTATCCTGCCTTTAAACACTGACGAAAGGTCAGTGCCCCAGTGGTAATCAAAATAAGTGACATCTGCTGCAGGAATTGTGGAAATTGCTCTTTTTGCTAAGCTCTGGAACGGGGCTGGGTGCGAACATGGGCGGCTCTGCAGGGCAGCAGAGGGCCAGCCAGCTGCCTTGGGGGAGGCACACCAACACGAGGGTGGGAACAGTGAGCAAGAAACTGAGCATTGCTAAGGCTGGAGCAAAAGATGTTCTAGGAGAGGGTTGGGTCTGATCCCTTCTAGACTCGGTGCTCTGACTGTGTCTGCGGCTGACACCGGCCTCGCTGATGGTCCCCAGAGGAACGGCCAACCCAGCTAACTTCTCCCGGCACAAACAAACCCAAGGTCGCCAACTTGGAAGGGGAAGTGCCTGTGTGCCGGGGCAGGAGGCCTTGGCCCTACACGCAGCCCCGGCTGCCCGGGGAGGGTGGGTGGCAGGTTCCAGCCCTGCAGAGCAGCAGGGCCCGTTCCCTGCCCAGCAGCGGAGGAGCTGTGCTGGGAAAGCTGAGCTCCTCTCCCGGGGGAGGGCAGGGATTGCTGCAAGTGTCCCTGTTCTGGCTGGAGTTTGTTTGGTGGGTGCTTTTTTTTTTCTTTTTTTTTAAAAGTGAATTCTTGGAATAATGTTTCCTTTTTTAGCAAAATGGAGACTGGTGCATCCCCTGCAGGCAGGGATAAAAGCCTGCTCCAGTTCAGTGCCTGCAGGGAGCAGATTGGGAGGGTGCTGGGGAAGCTGCTACTGCTCATGGTGGGAACGTGCTTGCAAATCCTGGAAGGGACCCAGTGTAAATATTCCCTTCCCCCTGCTGCTCCTCATGCTGGAGCTCCTGGGGGCCCTGGAGCAGGCACAGTAACCAGGGTCGCTTTTGCTTCTGCAGTCTGCTCTCCTCAATGCCTTGTATTGAAATATCCCTCCGGTGATGTCGGGAAGGAACTGGCCTGGGCCTGCCTGCAGCCGGCGCTGGGTGGGTGGCTACCAGAGCCTGCATCTGCCAAGCCCAGGGGGTTAAATTCCCTCCTCACCTGGTCAGTGCCCCCCTCACGGGCAGGGTGCTGGCTGGGCTGGGTTTCTCTGCCACATATAGGTGGGGGGCAGGATCTGATTTTTAGGGTGCTGGTCTTTGTCGGTTTTTCTCCTTGCTGTAGAGCTGCCCAAGGGTCTCTTCCCTGGCTCGTCTTTCAGGTTAGCTGTTAGCTATCTCTCCCTGTGGGGGTACTTTGTTCCACTTCAGCCCTCTGCTTTTTTAGCACCTAGGCCATTCCCCTCTGCTAAGCCTCCCCCTGTCTTAGTGGCCTCTGGTCCCTCCCTGCTCCCCGGCCCAAGCTGTGTTCTGACACCAGAGCTTTTGGGTGGTGCAGGTGGGACCGGGGACATCTGGATGCCTTGTGGCAACGTTTGCTAATTTGAGAGAAAGCCGAGGGCCCGTTTGGTCCCGGTTTCGTCTTTTATGCGCGGGGGCTCCTGTGCAAAATTTTTGGCTTTGCTTTTACTGCTAGTGTTCCCTGCTGCCTTTTCTGTTGGTGTTCATCAGGTGCAGGGCTGGGGTTTTCACGGTTCACATTGTTTATTTCCTTCTAATCTGCACCGATCTTGTATTTCACAGTTTGCACTTTTTGTATTTCAATAAAAATCAAAATGTAATCCCGGATCCAGGTGTGTGTGTCACGTGGCAGCAGCTTTGGCACATCTACAAGGAACAGAAGTAAGGCTGGCGACGCTGCCAACCGCAGCCGTGCAGAGGGGGAGGAAAGTGAGTGTGAAACGCCTCCGGTGTGAGTAACTCTGGGAAGAAACGCTAGTTTGCAGGAGCCTCAGGCTGGAAACAGAATTCAAACAAAAATGAAGTATTGCAAGTTTGGCTCTTTCCTGAACAGGGCTGGGCTTCCATGTTACCATCTCCCCGTCACGACGAGCGATCTGCCTAGGACTGCCCTTTCCGCGTGAGACAGACCCCGGCAGCCGTGCAGGCTGTGCTATCCCCAGGTGCCAAGTGGGAGCCACTTGGAGGCTCCCCGGTTAGGGTTTATCCTGCGGCCAGGTGATACGTGCGCAGCGGAGGCCTGCACCTTCTCATCTCAACTTCTGTGGATCCCTAACAACTCACGTACAATAGTCTTCTGGTTAGGACCGCTACACTCCACCCCTTGATCCACATACAGTCGACTCCCTTTTCCTCAAGACACTGTAATCTGCTGGTTACATCAGTAAGTTTTTTGGCTAGTTAGAAAGGCTCTTACATGCAAAGTGATTCCTACAGTTAGTTAATACAAGTGTAGCAACAAGGGAACCCAACAGTGGGTGCGAGAATAGGAGTTAGCACAGAGAGCGCTGGAGCTAAAAGCATCACCATCGGGCAGTAGCCCTGGCTACTGGCCTTGTCATCTGGATGATGTGTTAATGCTGATGTTAACACTTGCATTTTTAAAACTGCATGCTGCTTTTCGGTTTTTAATACCTTTTCGGGTTTTATTATGAATCAGCGGTCCAGTTAAGGGCTTCCCAGTGTTGCAAATTCTTCTTCGGCATGTTGATGTTGTTCAGCGTGACTCGTGACAAGCTGTCAGCCATATACCAGAGGTTTTTTTGGCATCTGTTCACAGGTAATACTTTGCGTATGGTCCCTGTAGTCTGATTTATTAATCCGTAACTCACTGCACAGTACTTCAGTTCTAGAGCTGAGAGGTTTTACTACTTATTTCTCTGGGGCTTTTTCATGTGGATAGTGCTTTTGGCTATAGTCTATGATTTTGCACCCCTTGGCCCGCGCTGGCCCCCCTGTAATGGAGCCGTTGTGGTTCATCTGCTGACGCCACAGCCATCTCTCAAAGCTGCCGCGAGTGCAGTGGCTGGTCCCATCTCGGGGCTCGGACCGGTGACCTGGGGCTGTGCTGGGGCAACACCTGCTCTGGTCTCGGAGGAGCTTGGGCCCGGGACGGGCGTTGTAGCTAGCAGGACGTACGCTACGTGTAACCACGTGGACGGTACTTAACGCAGCGTAAACACCATTGCAACTGGATGTGTTTTGATGTGTAGCTGCCCTGGGGCCTTAAGGAGAGCATTCTGAGAACGTTTTTCTTTTTATAAACACATACAGTAGGCTCACAATTGGATGGTATTTGATTGTTCATGACCTTGGTGATTAATCATCCTTCTCCGACTGTTTTTCACTTACTTTCCGATGGTTTTTCCAATCCCTTGTCTTACTGGTGACATGGTGAAGAGGGTAGATACTGCAGGCTGTGTAGTAAGGCCCCGATCCCACAGGATGGTTTATGTGCGTGTGCCAGCAATTCATCTCTCCCCACACTGTGCAGCGTCTTTTGTAAGTGCACGAGATGGTAGTTGTAAATACACACACGTACACGCAGGTAATGTAGATAGATCGGTATCTGTAAGGTTGCAATGGGATACTCAGTTTAATGTGTTATCTCCTGAAGATAAGGTTAAGAAAAGTTTGCTTTTAATAGTTATCTTTGTTCCCCAAGCTGGAATATTTCCTTTCAGAGAAGCTTCCAATATACACAGTCTTTTTTTTTTCCATTGCTGCTATTTCATCCACAGTCTCTTCTGTATAATAACCAGACACCCTTTACACTGCAGCTTAAATCAGCAATTGTATTTACACATAGTTGGGGTTTTTTACCATCTTCCCTTTCCTTTAAAGGGAAGGTGTGACCACCTTACATGGCATCGTGTGTTCTACAGGGTTAACTTTAAGCAATAGTAGAATACAGCTGTTTAGTCATCAGACAGGCAGGAACTACACGTTGCAAGCAGCATGCTCTTTCACCAGCATTCCTTGCTGCTGGGACACCCACGCTAATTCTTTCCACATCTTACTAGTCTCTTCTATCAGATCGAGACATTCCCACGCTCCTCTTAAGCACGTAGTGACCAACCAAGTACAATGCAAATTCTTCTGGTGGTTTTAGGTTTGTTTGGGTTTTTTTTGCCTTTTCCCACCCCTTTCTTTTGGAGACAAGTTAATATTTCAGCTGGGGCAGGACATCCAGTAATTTGTTTTCCCAACTCCCTGGGGAGGTCACCAGGACCAAACACTCTCTCGCTGTTCCCCCACACCTGCATTTGGGACCAGCCAAGCACCGGGTCTGTCTCTTCCTCACCCTCCTTCTTCCAGTCGGGCGGTCTCACCGGGATCCTGCTGACCACTCCAACTGTAACGCGCCAGGGCATTCTACCCTCTCGGTTGGGAGGCAGCAACCTCCTCCACCCCGCGCTCCCTGACAGGCAGCTCTCTGACCATCCCGGTGCCTGGAGGAGAAAGAGAGAGAGGTTGGGACTGTCCCAACCCTATCAGCGCACTGGAGAAAAGCACAAACAGAGGGTTGCTTACGTAAAAGTTTTATTGGAAATTCTTTGAATACTTGAAGTACATTGGAGACTGTTTCCAAAACGATACAATTTAGGAGCCTTCCCCTTCACCCAAAGTATCTGTAAATCAGGAGCTACATACATACTGTCCTTAATAGAGAATCGAGCAGACAGCTGCTAAAATAAACAGCCTTCATAACACAATCTGTGGCAGGCCACAGCAGCAGCTAGATCTTTCCTGAAGCAGAGCATTTGTGCAGTGGTCAGGGAACTCAGAGCCTAGATGTAGCAACTACGTGTTGAAACCGAGGAATGTCCAGAAAAGAGGCACATAACTCAGCCCTGGAAAATCTCTTTATTGCTATGGCCATCCAGCTCAACACTAGCAGCTTATATAGGCAAATTTCCAGCCTCTTGAAGTAGAAAAAAAACCCATGCCACACTGACATTCTACCTAATGAGATGTGGGAGCTGTAGCCGTGTTAGGAACTGCATCAACAAATGAGCGCAAGTATTTGGCTTGGGGGACCTTCTGGACAGGATCAGCAAGAACGGCATGCTTTCTGCCAACTCCACAGCTGGTCAGTGTGAGAAGAGGACAGCAGGAGCACTGCACAGGTGAAGTTCAACCTCGTCTATTCTTCTCCATAGATAGAGCGCGAACCAGGACTTTACCCCATCTCTGCTGCTCTGCAGCCCAGATCGCATCGCGTTCCGAAGCACAGCCTGTACGTTAAGAGCAAGGTGACAGCAACCACCTGTCTGTGAGCTCCTTCCTACAAGGTGGCAGAGACCAACTTCCTGAGCGGAGGTGAGAGCCAGCTGATCCATTAATTCCTTGCTTTCCCCCACCACCCTTCTGCGACCCCTTCCACCTGTAAAATAAGGTGGCTCTGGCTGTGGGGAATCAAGTATGTGTCAAAGCCCATGTAATTTAGGCCTTCTTTTGAGCTGTTTATCTTGGAAGCTTTCTTAAATGTTTGTGCATCTTATTTTGCAAGGCCTAAGCGATTTCTGTGTGAGGTTGCTGAAAAGCTGAATCAGTTGAGCAAGCTAAAAAGGTTCTGGTGGGGAGCTTTCCCGCAATACAGCTCCTACCTAGAGTTTTAGAGCTCACACGGCCTCCCGCTGAACACAGCACTCAACAAAAAAAGCTGGTGAAGTTCAAAGCATCGTGTTGCTCTGACCTTACAATAAGCTCTACTCTGAACTTGGCTCCTTGCTCTAGCAGTGGCACAGAAATAGTGTTCTGGAGAGGGTGGGGTTCCCCCATCAGCTGCTAGCAATCCCTTTCAATTAAGAATGCAGCTAAGTTGAAGAAGCTGCCACATTGCACTAACGAGAAGGCTGGTTACTCAGCTACTCTAAAGAAACTAAGATAGTTCCTCAGTACTGAGGTAACACAACCCCACTTCTGGAGAAAGATGGAAAGAAAAAAAAAAAAGTGTTTTAGGACAGTAAGGGGTCTTGCAGTTGCTCACTCTAGTTACACATGGGAGGAGGAGAGAGAACCACAAGACGACCTACCTTATCTGAGTTTCTGTTTAGTGTCACTGTTTCTCCTCCCATCCTTACATCAGGCAAAAGACACGCAACAGCCAAATCAACCACAGAGCGCTGCCAGTCACACTGTTAATAGCCAGATCATTACAAAAATAAAATTTCAGCTAATCAAAAGCCAGCTGATTAAAAAGTACCATAAGCTCCCCAAAAATGTGCTTCTTTAAAGAAGCTGCCTTCTGAAGGGCTGAAGAACACTGCAAATTCATCCACGCCTATCAGAATACAGCTTTTTACCAAGTCCCTGCCACTCCACTACACTGATGTGTGCATTTCATTCTGTCAACCGGATGTAATGGACACATAGTTCCCCCAAACCAGAGTATTAGATTAAATAATCAAGTCTGTCTTAGAAAATAAATATCTTGGATATTTTCCTGCAAGGAGAGACCAGTCTCACTGGCCAGGGTTCCATGGCACACTTGCTGTCTGCAGTGATCCAGGGCAGAATGACCTGCACTACTACATGAAAACAGAACATCTTTTAAATATAGGTTTCTTTAAAAGCAATAAATATTTCTTGATTCTTAAGATCATCTATTAACCATAAAGCAGGAAGGTTGGCAAGGGTTAGAGGAAAGAATCTTGGACTAAGACTCCTAGTTACATAACCCTAAAGAAATAGGATTCCTAGTATTTACAGTTACGTTTCAGAAGCAGAGACTATGAATTCAGCATCATCCCAGCTGCTAGGTGCAGGCTTGCCAACAGTCAACACCACTAAACTCAGCACGGCCGACTGTCAGTACACTCAGGAAGGAAATGTGGAAAGCGCTTCTGTAGTTTCATTCCTCCTTATCAGCCAGCGTTAACAGAAGGCCTCGGACAAAACGACTGCGTAGAGACCCTGTTCCTTGGAAGCAGGAAAACAACGGTAACGTGTATTACACACAGGTCCCAAAGCTGACATCTCCCCCTGGGCTCCAGGCACTCACGCTGAAGCCAGGATGAAATGCCCTGTTCTGTGGAATGGATGTCCTGGATTTAAAACTGTTGAATCTGCTGAACTCACAGCCCCTGGAAGTCAGCCAAAGCCTTCTACGCTCTAACAGGATCGGAGACTGCGTAGGAAAAAGTCTGTTAGCAAGAAGCTATACCTAGGGAACTTACACCATAGGACCTTTGGAGGAAGCATACGGCAACTTTTCACAAAGCTCCTCCACACAGAACAGAGACTGGGGAGAAAAAAAAAATCAGTTTCATACATTGGAGTTTTGACTTCCTGTGTCCCTACTAAAGTCTTAAATTCAAAACTGACTGTGAGCAGGAAAAGCGGTCCAGAACTATGTGGTGGTGTAGTTGAGGACAATCAGCAATGAGCTGCATCTGCTGTTGAAGAGAGCGATCAAAGAAAGCTCACTTGATGGAAGGACCTAGTCAAAGTGAGACAAAAGGCAGAGCAGGGGCAATAGAGATATTTGTCGGTGTCATTCTCTGGGATGCCTTGAGGAGGAAGAACTGCTGCAGCAAAACTGGGAAACAGCTTCACTGCAAGGTTTCTACAAAGGCATCAAACTCTTTGACATTTTTCTCGTGGACTGCTAGCTTCTCTGGTAACGAGTCCTGGAAGGGTAAAGAAGGGTGCAGATCAGGGCTCATTCACAGCAGATAAAAGGAAGCTTTAAACACACACTCTAAGGTAAAAATTCCATTTCTGAGTCATGCAACCCCTCTCCACTGCTCTGGGCTCCCCTTCCCAGGTGCACAAAGCCAGGAGTCCTCTGGCAGTACCCAGCAAGTGACCCTGAGAAGGGCACTCTGCCCAGAGGCTGTTTGTTCTGCAGGAACAGTAGGTGCACTGGGGCCTCACCTTGTGCAATTCCCGTCGGCAGCTGCGGCACAACAACCTGCTCATGTCACTGCCTTCATCAAGTCACTTGCAGCTCTTAGCCTTTGGCATTCCATTTTCCCTATTTACAAGGCTTGTGAGCCCAATACAGCACTCGCCCAGACGTGACTTTCACCAGCCACACTAGGATTTTGCCTCTGCTCAGGCTGCAAGATCAGGCCAAGACTGCCACTAAGTTTGACATGCTAGAGGTAGGATTAGTTTTGGGGGTTTCGGTGACAGCCACAGCAAGCACATGGCAGCAGCTTTCAGCTTGAAGATAAACACACCAGTTTCAGAGGCTCAAGTGTGCCACAAATTTGCATTTGTCTGGAACATATTAGTGAGGGACCCACTTTGGGCAGGGACTCTCTTCTGAGAAGTAGAGGAAAGACACGGACCTGTTGGAGCAGGTCCAGGGGAGGGCCACAAAAATGATCCGAGGGCTGGAGCACCTCTCCTATGAGGACAGGCTGAGAGAGTTGGGGTTGTTCAGCCTGGAGAAGAGAAGGCTCCAGAGAGACCTTATTGAGGCCTTTCAATACTTAAAGGGGGCTTATTAGAAAGATGGGGACAGGCTTTTTAGTAGGGCCTGTAGTGATAGGACAAGGCGTAATGGTTTTAAACAAAAAGAGGGTAGATTCAGACTAGATATAAAGAAGAAATTTTTCATGATGAGGGTGGTGAAACACTGGAACAGGTTGCCCAGAGAGGTGGTAGATGCCCCAGCCCTGGACACATTCCAGGTCAGGTCGGACAGGGCTCTGAGCAACCTGCTCTGGTTGAAGAGGTCCCTGCTGATTGCAGGGGGGTTGGATGAGATGACCTTTGAAGGTCCCTTCCAACCCAAACCATTCTGTGATTCTATGAAGACATGACTGTTTTCAAACTAGGAATATGGTGAGCACTATAAAGTACATATGATTCTCACAAACAGAAATTTCATTGTTTCATACCAAATCCTCTGCCATGGACTGCGCTCCAATGTCAATGGAGAGGCTGCTGAGTTGAGGGGGGTTCTGAAACTCACGGTAAAACGTCCCCAGGTCCATTGGAAGAATGTCATCTTTTGAAAATGCTGGTTTCTAGAATCAAAGATACTGCTGTTAATTCCCATTCAGAGACATGGGCTTCCCTTTTGCCATAATCGCACGTAAAGTCATCACCTGCTATCAGGAAACATCTGGGCATTACAACTGTTCCTGCAATAATGCAGATTAAATAACTGAAGAACAGACAAGATCTGTGCTTGCCTGAGCACTTGGAAGAGAGCATTTCCTTGGAATCTGGCTCCTTTAAGGATTAGAGAGAGGATGCCAAGCCCAGGTGTTGGTAAGGATCTCAAAGAGCATTTAATTTGTAGCTGTTGGTTCCGACTATCAGTGTCTTTGCAGTTTTGGGGCTGTCAGGCTCTAGTTTGGACCTATGAATCATGGGTCTTTTCCACCCCCATTGAAAACTACTCTTACATCATTTGCCATTGTACCAGCACCTGAAGCTCATCGAAGATGCAGGTGTTATGCGAGAGCACTTACAAAGTCAATCATAACGAAGTCATCATGGGTGTTCCCTGTGCTGCTGCCACTGGAGCCCTCTGAGTGTAAGCTGCCTTGTAGAGGAGATTCAGTTTCTGGGGAGTCAGGAGGATTGACCTGCCCAAGAAATCAAAGGTGGTGAGTACTGATCTCACGATCGCGTCTGTCTGTGTATTTTGACAGTGGTGGTGGTGGTGGGGCAGTTAGGAGGTTGGACAATAAACACATGCTACCGCAGGGGCAGCAAACACATACTGTTATTTGCATGTCTAGAGAGCCCAAGACTCAACATGGGAGACTTCTTGAAATCAAAGAAATCTGAGTAACTAGTTCTTTGCTCAAAACCCAAAGTGTATTGAAGGTAGGGAATAGCATGGATGTTGCATAAGGGATGCTGAGAAGGCACATATTATACCTCTGGAAGAGGCTTACCATGGGGTCGTTATCTTCCAGCTCAACATTCTTGGGAGCAAACATGGCAAAAGGAATGTCTAAGTTGGCCATGGTCACCTGAGGAGATTCAGCAAACAGAATTTCACTAAGATGCTCTGCTTACTCAGCACAAAAAAGGATACTGAAAGTCTTTGTCAGGCCTGCTAGTAATTGCCCAAGATCACATCAGCAGTAAGGCAGGAGGCTGACAACCTCATTTAAAAGGCACAAAGTAGAGAGATTGTACTCATCTGACCTAACACAGATACATACCCTGAGGTGGGATTGCTTACGTACATCTTGTATAATATAGGCAAGGATTAATGAACTGCTGCAAGTTCAAACAATTTTCCTTCATCCATCCAAAAGGCCTAGGAGAGCAGCCCTAGGAACTGGGCAGATCTCTAATCTGCCCTAGCTGAGATTAAGTGCTTTCTTACTAGTGATGAACTGGTCTACTGCGTGTCCCTTCAAGGAAGGGAGGCTTGCTACCAGCTTCCCCACTTTATGAACCTGTGGTAGCGGCAGATCATCAAGACCTCTGAGTGGAGTATCAAGTCTTCCATACCAAAACAGGCTGTTGGCAAAGTGGGACAAATTCAACGGCTGTCACATCCCAAAAAGATTTTATGAAAAACAAGCCCATGACAAGACCTTGTCGGGAAATGCAGCAGGCAGGAATATGCACCCTCAGTCTCTGGTGTTGCCTTGGCTTTGGGGTGCTTTTTGCTCCTCTGTGTAGGAACAGGTGGGAGAAGCAGGGTATTATGGTGCCCTCTGAGAAGATCTACTGCTAGTTACCTGGTTAATGGGTTTGTTGACAAAAGCTCCAACCTTCCGGATAAAGATGGTTTCCAAAAGGTCATGTGGGGAGCCACACTTCCCTTCGCTGCTGTTTGATACTGTTTCTGTGTCCTCACTGGGGGAAGAAAATGGCTAATTAGTGACTCACGGCACAAACAGTATAGGCAAATCACATGCTTTACAAGACTCCTTCATTTTTCTGGGTTTACTCCTAGTATTTGAAGGACAACAGGAATCTTGGTCCTTGTACCACACCTTCCTTCTCAGTCATGAGCACAAAAGGGGAGTGGGACATTTGTGGAATCAGATTTTTTTGTTTAAAGCTGGACAAAAACTGTTTAGTTCAATGAAAAGTTGCTGTCAAATCAAATAGGCTTTTCTTTTTGGAGGTGGACTTTTAACTTCAGAATGTGCACGTGCACAGCAATTCCTATTCATCACTATTATATTTTCAGTGATACTACAGTCACAGACCTGTCAGGAGGCAAAGCCAAGAACCAGAATTGTATCTGTCACTCAGGTTACAAAGGCAGCAGTCTCATACATCACAATAACCACTGCCAGTATGATTAATTCACTGCATGGCTATTAGTTATTTCTATCACCTGTGGGTTTTTTCCCTACCACAGGTATTCAGAATGTTAAAAAAAAAGTGGTTGAGTCTTCTGGCAAGAGGACTACTTAGATAGCACACCCAGGAAAGTGCTAGTGCAACTATGGTTTTTGGTTTCCTCATAGCAAAATCTCTGCTTAAGATATTTGACTCAGAACTATGTGACCCGAAGGGAGACTTCACAAAAAATAAATATGGTGACCAAAAAAGAAGAAGGATTTAATTAGCTGAAAGGGAGGTGATTCAGGACAGTTTGAGGTTGTATCGTTTCCTTTCAAGTAACTTTGTGCCTAAAGTTTCTTAATAAAATAGCAAACAGATTTGCTGTAACTACAACTGGTTTTGGTAACAATTCACATTAAGTCTCTGGAGAATTTAAGACTCGCTTGTGAACTAACTTCATCGTGTTGCTTTACAATCGGCAAAAACAGTAGAGACAAAAAAAAAAAAGAGGTAAAATTGATAATAAAGTTAAAGTTGACATAACAGAAGTTGCAAGGATGTTACAGTGACTAGCAGGTGTAAGTAAATGGGTGAGATCATTGTTTGGAGCAAGACTGAAAAAGCCCCCATCAGAGAAAGCTGCTAGTTGTTTTGGGGGATGGAAAGACAGTAGTTATGCTACAAACAATAGATAAAAAGGGGAAAAGGAAAAGTTTTATCTTAACGGGATTATAAATGGGCTAGCACAAGTGGTGGATCATCTAAAACCAACCTACCTACTAGAAGGAGTAGCTGCTGAGTAGTGGACTCCATCCAGGGGGGTGCACATTCTCTCTTGGTCAGCTTGAGTGCCATGTGCTGGCTGGCTAGGAATCGGGGGAACTCCCCCCTCTTTGCCTGGACCAATCAACTGAGATGGAGAGGAACGGTCAAGTTAGAGATCTCAAAATCAGGCCAACACCACAGTGCAACAAAGAGCAGATTCCCTCATACTGGGGCTAAGTTGTGGGGTTTTGGGCATATGACTGGGCTCTAGCCCCCCATGAGGCTGAGAGAGGTGTCAAGTAGAAGGTGATCACCACAATACAAACTCTTTGTTTATTCCCTTCCTACTCCACTCCTGTCCACTTCAGGCCTGTTTTACGCTGCAGATCTCTCTGGCAAGAGGTCCTCTCTTCAAGGGGCGGAGGGGGCAGCAGAAAAAAAAAATCATACCCTCTTGCTATGACCTCACTGCTCTCTGCAGCTTCCTGAGAAGGGGATGTGGAGAGGGAGGTGCTGAGCTCTTCTCCCGGGGATCCAGTGATCGGACACGTGGGAATGGTTCAAAGCTGTGCCAGGGGAGGTTCAGACTGGACGTTAGGAAGCATTTCTGTACTGAGCGGGTGGTCAAACACTGGAACAGGCTTCCTAGAGAGGTGGTTGATGCCCCAAGCCTGTCAGTGTTCAAGAGGCATTTGGACAATGCCCTTAATACCACGCTTTAGCTTTTGGTCAGCCCTGAAGTGGTCAGGCAGTTGGACCAGATGATTGTTGTAGGTCCTTTCCAACTGAAATAGTCTACTCTATGCTACCATCACTGTCTCAGCAAAACTCTGGTGTAGCAGCAACATCATAGGCAGAAAAAGACTTCTGTCAATTTTGCATATTTGTCTGATGAACAGATGCAAATACGCCAATATGGACTGTCAGTGTATCCTCTGTCTAGGCTACAGTGCTGTGCTTGGACAGCTACAGGGGCAGCAGCTCTGTAAGACAGCCAAAGTTTGGAATCTGTGACACGCTGGTGTAGGCAAACAGGTTTGGTGCCTGCGCTCTTGGCATAGTTTTTCCACATGACCTCAGTAAAGTCAGGGATGCTGAGGAGCCAATTCCTAGCTCCTGTGCAAGTTGTGCTTTCTCTATATTTACCTTATATTATTTTCAAGCCTGACAGACAGGATACAATGCACGCACTAGTTTCAAGGCCTGTCTCAGATGTACAAGTGACACAAACGGTTGCAATACCAGCCACGCTTAGCGTTCTGCCCTCTACGAGTACCTGGTGAGGGTGTGCAGCATTCAAGCCACCAGCAAAGAGTACAGGATACCCCATGTCAGCTGATCCAACTCCCAGGGCAGCAGGCTGATAGGAAAGACGAGAGCTGGAAAGCTAAGAAAGAAGAGAAAAAACAAGAAGGGCAAAGGGAGAGGAGAGGGGAAGGGGAATGCCCCACAGTCTGAATAATCATCAGTCATTGAAGAAGGAACAGGAAAAGTCAGAGGCACAGCATTTCAGGCTGGCAGAAGGATGCTAGATTTTCATTGGAATCAATAATGAAGGTTATTACTCTAAAAAATTTTTGTTGCAGGGGACTAAGCCTGGGCCTTGACAGGAAAACAAGATTGGTTTCCTACACACATAGGAGGAGGCTGTGCAAGGTATGACTGACATCCAGTCACAGGGAAGCTCTGCTGTACGGGCCTGTTTCACATATTGGAAAAAGCATGAATGTCATCATCAACTGACTAAAGAGCTAATAGTTTTTGTTTTTTTTTTTTTTCCCCAAAGCAACTGCATAATCAACTGTTTGAACCCATTGCACATTAAAACATCTGATCTTCAAGGCCTGTTCAAATAGCTTCAGCCAAAGAATAGAGTCCCCTAAAGGTGTTAGGTAAGGAGAACTGGGAGACTGCTTTAGGAATGAAGTGCTGGGAGCAGTAGAACCCAGGAAAAGCTCCTTACACACCCCAGCTAGTATCTGGCTGGTCAGATTAAATAAAACTTTCCTGTTTTAGCTTGCTCAACCTCAAGCAGAACACTTCTTTCAGAGTTTTGTGTGTGATGCTCCAGCAGCACCAATGACATCATTTACAGGGGTCCAAATGATAAAAATCACTTTTATTCACGAGGCTGGTTCAGCTGAATGGAGCACTAATGATTGTGTAGGTTCTAGGGACACTGGCTGTTAAGAGAAAACACTCAGCACTGTGCCTTACTGCTAGAGTCTTTCACTAACGATCCTTGCAACAACTGTTGTTTATTTAGTGGGGCTTGTCCGGTCTTTGGGAGACCTTCATCTGCAAAGGCATTTAAGCGGCCAGTCTCAATAATGTGCCTGGCCCATTTGGGTTCACCGGCCTTTCCCCTGCACAACAAATATTCCACATTGTCAAATTTGTACTTTCCTGTATTTGTTCTATCAGGCCAGAACTATATCTAGCGTATTCTATTGACAACTCACTTGATGTGAAAAGGCCAGTCCCATCACTGGGACCTTCAAGGTGTCCGTCACCACAGGAGGAGGGGTCTGAAAATGTGCCTTTGTGACAGTAAAAACACACTGTACACAGACGAAAAAAGGGAAATTTGAGGGAGAGAGAGAGAAAGAGAGAGAGAAGGACTTCAGAGAAGAACTATGAAGAGTTGGATGAACTGAATGCTAGTGAAGAGGTTTTGGCTGCAGCAGCCACACCTACACATACAGCAGAAGTCTCACTATTGCCAGAAGGACACTCATTTTGTAAAGAATTGACTGTTTTCCAGTCCCGGTGAATCACTCAACACACATAATATTTGACTCCAGTGAACGCTGACAGAAAGTAACTGCCAGAGACTCTGTTCCACAGCTAATTAGAATTGGCACCAGTCAATTAGCAAGGAGGAGGCTGAGCGGATGCCAGGAAAAGCCAAGAGTAATTTTTTTTTTCCAGAATGTACAAATTACATGTATTTCAATACTCTCCATCCATATACACTCCTAATCTTCCAGCATTCCAAGGGATCGTATCTTGGCAGGTCTGTGCTGCACCCTTAGAATAAAGGGGACCCAGACTAAAGTTCAATTCAAAGACATTGATGTGAAGAGAGAACTCCATCAACAGGAGTGATACTCCAGAAGTAAACACTGTCTCACAGAGGGTACTAAAGCAAAAAGGGCAATCCAAACCTCGTTCAGTCCCATACCTTCTCCCAGTCATTTTGCTACCAACAGTTCTCAGTTTTTAGGAAAGCTTCATTTCTGGATGTTACCCATGGCTAGACTTTCTCCTGAATTTTGGGCTACTCCACAACACGCAGAGACATGCTATGCAAGCTCACGGGGCGAAGGTAACACCCCTTTCCCTTGTATCATGCAGGTTAGGCCTCATTTCTACTGGGAAGGCGGGCAGAGATTTGGACAATTTGCCTACAGAACCACACGATTCCCAGTATTTTCCTACACATTAAGTTGTACGTAGAAAACTGGAGAAAGAAATTAACTTTTTTTTTTCCCCTTCTAATTTACGTTAGAGACCACTCTGCCAAGACAGCCTTACAATTCTAACTGTGGTAACAAAGACTGGCAGTTGCTTTATAAATAAGCGCACAGCATATGGCAACTATGAGCCACACGAAAAGCAAGAATGTCGGCTCATTCTTAATGTGAATCCTCAAGGTTCATCTGGTTTCATAAAGCTTTTCCCTTCAGTGACAGCAAAGCTTCGCATACCCTGGGGAAATGTCAACTTCAATGTCTTTACATACACTATTACTGTTAAGTAATGCTGGCACGAGCAAGCCAGTGGAAATTTCGTTATGAAACCTTTTGCGTTTAACCCGTTTTGTGAAAAGGCAGGACACAACTCAGACACAAACTTACCTCCTGAGCTGCGTATCGCAGAATAAGAAAAGCTTTATTCCATCAGACTTACCGTGAGTGCTGGCTGATTAGTTCAACATTGCCTGATGCCCTGCCACCCAAAACCCCCTTGGCACAAAAATGCTTCCTAAGAAAAGCTCATTTCTAGCTCATTCATACAATAGAATACATTCTGCTAAAGCAGTCATACTAATTCCTCTGAAGCAGTGGAAAGACCCATAGCAAATTCTTTCAGTTTGGAATGGCATTCCAATTATATTTCATTCTATGTTCCACATTGACAGCAAAAGAGATTTAGAGTCTTTAGATTGCCTTTAAAGATCAGTAGAGCCATCTGCTTGGCTGGACAAGAAGGCAGGACATTTCTGGATATTTAAAGCCATAGGACAACTGCAAATCTGGACAAGTCTTCAAAATACAGAATTGTGGAGTCAGGTATATAAGGACAGTAAAAGAAGGAGGAATTGGAGTTTCTGGTTTTTGATACTCTGAAGGAAACCATTATCTATTTATTTTAAAATTCAAGCTTAAATGAAATCTGCATGGGTAGGTGGAGGTACAGAGTATTAAGTCCCTAGTTCAATACTATGACCCAATTTGTTTGCTGTCTGCTGCCCCAACTAGTTTTAGATGGTCCAACAAATACAGCTTTTGCCTTTTTCCTGCCTTTCCATTCTGCAACGCAGAAAATACAACTATGCTCTAAGCCTTTTCCCGATTATTTCAGTGTTTCTTTCTCAATGTCAGTCTGTTACCTCTACTTACGCTGCCTGGCATCAATCTCTCGAATTCCTCTTCTCGCAGCATCAGTATGTGAATTTGTAAGTACACTGCTACCCTCTTCAAGCACATGTCAGCCCAGCTACAGGAGTATATTCTTTTAATCTGTCTCAGTAAATCGGTCTTTCTAGTCTCCTAGCGTTTTGCTGAAATTAGTATCTAACTAGGTTTTAGTCAGAGTGTAATGATATAAATAACCCACACATTAAATTTTAATTAGCAGCAGGAGGCTGCCTGTTTGCACAGTAGTTGATGTAGGAGTATGCACACTACCCTAACAGTGGTTGTTCTGTCTAGGAGTAAAAAGAGCCTGGTTTCTCTTACCTGAGATGGAGGAGAGGTGGAAAAAGACGTGGTACACACTTCTTGGGAATCTTCTACTGAGGGGTATACTGCACCATTGTCCTCACCAGCTCTAAAGCAGCAAGAAAAGAAAAATTTTCTAACTGGAAATATTCCTTAAAACAAACAAATAGTAAAACACACTGGGACAAACACTGCAGGGAGGTTGAGAGTATTTGGGTGGAGTCAAAAGGAGAATTATGAAGGGCTCTCATCTACTTGGCAGAACTGAGGAAAACAAGGTACAAAACCTTTAATTTTCCCCAGGCGCTCCTCTTCTACTTCTACCCCCACATAGAAACAATTCCCTCTTTTTTTTTTTGTGAACTAAAGGTTTTGTTATACCAGCTAATGCTACTGGCTTTGGTGTTTACAGAACCATTGTCAAACCGTACTGCTGGTCCCAATCTGAGTGTCCTCACATTCATTTTAAGGAAGATAAACCTCTCATCTACAAAGAGAAATTAAACTCTGATCTTTCCCCAATGGAAATATCTGGAGATGCATGCCTCTGAACACATAGTTCTACAGCAGGTTGAACTGTTACACTCGCTAAATTCCCAAAGGCAACCAAGGTTAAACATCCTTTGTGTTCAAGTGCTTCTGTAAGGAATTTGGGAAAATACTGGGGCTTGCTGCACTCAGTCCTCTAGATGTGAGGAGAAAAATGTCACCCTTCCTCATATGCCCAACCGTGTCAATATGATTGACACTAATCCTCCAGTCTCCCTTCCCATGCAGTCAGCAAAGAGTGGAAAAGGCTCTGTATTTGGGCATAATTGATGCCTTCACCATGGCCCATGACTTCAACTCCGTATTTCCTCACCTGTAATTGCAGGGATGCATGGGTGAAGAGCTGGGATAGGGACGGTCCACAAAGTGATCAATGATAATCCCCATGATAGGAGGGGTCCTCTCAAACTGCCTGCAAGGCAACAAGCAATGGTGTTACTGGCTTCTTCTCTCTACTCTCATCCCAATTCATGCTGTCCTCACAGAAAACCCTTGTGTCTGTTAATGGCACGAGAGCATCTTTACAATTCAGCCCTGCAACTCCAAGCATGCATCAACAATTTGGAGCTCTAGAGCCTGGCTCAGGGCTACCCAAATACTCCCCTTGCTGCAAGACTTAGGCGTGAGAGAGCGTATTCTCCATGAAGGA